TTTTTTTTTTTTTTTTTTTTTTTGATTTTCCACCACCAATATATACTTTATCTCTGCACTGTATTTATTACATCCTTTATAGTATTTTGAACCTCACTCAATAGTCTTGTATTCTCTGCAATATTTCTCGTTCCAGCTGCTCTTAGTTGTCTTGCTTGCAGCTCAAGTCTAGTGAGTAAATCACGAAACTGAAACCTCGCATGAGGTGCTATTGCAGTATCTGTAAGACTTATGCACATACCATGAAGCAAACCAACTTTGTCAGATAGTTGAAGCCAACTGGCCATGATTATGGTTGGACTACCTCTAAGATTTAAAATACTATTTTCAATGACGTTAGATATTTCGATGACACTATGTTTAGCTGCACCTTTTGATTCGGCAGTTTGTTTGTTGTTTGCATCTTCATCCGTCTGTGAAGGAGATTTATTGCAATTTGGTGTAGCATATATCGAGGAACCAAAATGTTTAGTTGACGAAACTAATGGTTTCAATGGTTTGGCTGGTACAACAGGCTTTTCAATATCTGCAGATGATGTTGGAGGCCATACTCTAGTGTCTCCTTTACTAGTAGAACTACGAGTTGATGCACCACTATGATCTTCCGGTGAATCTTCACCAGCATCAACTATGTCTGGCTTGTTAACACCTCTAACACTTAATTTAGGACTTAGTGGTTGATTATCGCAAGAAGCTTCCTTGTTTTCCCATAATTTTTTTAGGCTACTTATACTTCCAGTACTTCTACGTTTATCATCAATTTGATCGTCAGTTCCAAATTCAGATGAATCTGTTGTAATACTACTTCCAATATCATCAAATCGTTTAGCTTTATCTTCCGTAACTTTATCTTTATCAGCGTTGTCAACCTTTCGTAATCTAGCTTTGAAATCAATTATTTGATTATCCCCAGTTTCCTCCTTTTGCGGATTATTCCTTTTATCGACCTTTTTTAATTTGAAACCTATATTACCGGTGCTTATTATATCCTCAGTAGTTATAGATGAAGATGCATCAATCTCTTTGTGTGCAGTACTGTGCTTATCAAGACTTAAATGATGATCCTGTGCAATTGAAAAACTATCATTGCTCTTCAAATTAGAAATGGCATACTCATTTTGTACAGTATGTTTGTTTGTATCCATACTAAAGCTGGCACATAATTCAGATAATAATTGGGATGCTGGATCAAGAGGTAATGAAGGTACATTACCTGCAATTCCACTTTTTTTTACAGATCCTCCGTGTTTCATATCAGCACTTTGCTTTATTTCATTGACCAATTTCAATTCTAACATCTCCTTCATCCCCGGTTTGGATTCGAATGTATCTGTGATACCAATTGCAGCAGGAGGCGGAGGTGGAGGTGGAGGTGGCGGTGGTGCTTCCTCTGGCGATGACGTTAATTCTGCTGCTGCTGCTGCTGATTCTAATCTTACGTTACTAGACACCTCCTTTGTCTTAAGAATTGTTTTTTTATCGTCCAATGATTTATTGCAATGCGTTGTCTCGTTGTTAGTTTCTCTGCGTCGTAAATTAACACCAAATCTAGAACTAGCTTCTTTCACAGAAGGCTCGACATTTCTAACATCGTTATTTTTATCATCCTGATCGTCATTATTTACCTCGTCCTTTATTTTCCATTCGTTTTTTAATTTTCTCACGCTTACTGGCGAATTCGTTGGTTTAATATGAGAAATATCACTGTTAGGTGAAGCGGTTACTACAGGTGGTGGCAAATCGCATTGATCTGCCGAATTAAAAATGTCATCTGGAGGTGGTGGTAAGTCTATAGGTGGTGGAGGAAACTCAAGATCGGCGAGTGTTGGTTGAACCGATCTCGATGGACTGGCCGTTCTAAAACCAGTGTTATTTGGACCTCGGAAAGTTCTTAATCCAATATTTTCCGTATTATTTTTTCTAATTCCAACCGTCCGACTTCGTGGTGAATTTGGTGGTTGATAAGTGTTTACCACACCACTGGAAGAATTGCTGCGTGTCATTTGTGGTTGATTACGTAAATTATTCTGACGAGGTGATAACGAACGATGCTGAGGTGTATCCGTATTACTTGTAACGTCGTGTTGTTCAACAACGGTTGATATTGACGATGTCGTTGCAATATTATCTTGATTAGAAGGCATTCCACTTTGACGAAGACTTTCTAAATAGGCGCCAATCCTTGCACCTTTTGGTAAAGTGCCATAACGATTAATTGCTCGTTTAACATTTTGCACCTCTAGT